AAAAACCACCTATGTAGTCAGCTGGTCTCTGCCTGTCTGCGCCAACGTCCATCCTCAGACACTGTGGGCCCTGTGCGCTCGCGTTCCGCTGCCATGGCAGCAGGGGAGGGGTGGGGTGGTAGGAGCAGTGGCAGCTCCACCAGCAGCGGCTGCCTCAGTCTGCAGTCGATGATGAGTAGCTTTCTTCACCAGCGCAGTGAGGAAACTACTAACCAGCCGCCAGCAGCAGCAGCAGCAGCATCAGGTGGACCTGGAGCAGGACCTCAAACAACAGGCTTAGGCCTACTTGGACAGCACCCTGCCAACCGAGGTAGACAATCCCCTTGACTACTGGGCAACGAAACTTGACCTTTGGCCCCAACTAGCTGAATTTGCCCTTGAAAGGCTGTCATGCCCGGCCCAGTAGCGTGGCATCGGAGCGCGTGTTTAGTGCGGCAGGAGGTATTGCAACTCCGCGGAGGACACGACTGTCCACCCAAAGTGTGGAGAGACTGACGTTTGTGAAAATGAATCAGGCGTGGATTAGTCTGGATTTCAAACCACCAGTTCCTGACACAACTGACTAAATCCGCCATGAATCATGCCCCAAACATGTGCCACTTTCAGGTCTCCTCACACTGCTGGTGTGTTCCATTTTTTGTCATAGGGTGCTGGCAGATTACGGGCCTCCCATAGCTGCTGCCAGGCCCCTAATCTGCCATGGGCCCCTATACCGCCTCCTCATGCTGCTGCCAAGTCCAGAGTCTCTCATGGGTCCCTGTACGGCCTCCCATTGCTGCTGTCTCCATCGCCACACTCTGCCATGTGCCACTTTCAGGTCTCCTCACACTGCTGGTGTATTCCATTTTTTGTCATAGGGTGCTGGCAGATTACGGGCCTCCCATAGCTGCTGCCAGGCCCCTAATCTGCCATGGGCCCCTATACCGCCTCCTCATGCTGCTGCCAGGTCCAGAGTCTCTCATGGGTCCCTGTACGGCCTCCCATTGCTGCTGTCTCCATCGCCACACTCTGCCATGTGCCACTTTCAGGTCTCCTCACACTGCTGGTGGGTTCCATTTTTTGTCATAGGGTGCTGGCAGATTACGGGCCTCCCATAGCTGCTGCCAGGCCCCTAATCTGCCATGGGCCCCCGTACCGACTCCTCATGCTGCTGCCAGGCCCGTAATCTGTCATGGGCCCTGTTGTCGCTTGTTGGCATATTCCGCTCGTTCAGATGCTCCTTCTCCTGCTACTCCTCTTCACGGATTCCGTCAGCAGTCTTTCTTGGAATCCGTTTCCAAGAGACAACAGTTTGCGAGCACGCACCAGACGGTGCAGAAAAGCTGAACGTCCTCCTGTCCAAGTTGCTGCTGCCAGGCTCGTAATCTGTCATGCGCCCCTGTACCGCCTCCTCATGCTGCTGCCAGGTCCAGAGTGTGTCATGGGCCCCGTACCGACTCCAAATCATGCTGCTGCCAGGCCCGTAATCTGTCATGGGCCCCTGTACCGCCTCCCCATGCTGCTGCCAGGTCCAGAGTGTCATGGGTCCCTGTACGGCCTCCCATTGCTGCTGCCAGGCCTGTAATCTGCCATGGGCCCCCGTACCGACTCCTCATGCTGCTGCCAGGCCCGTAATCTGCCATGGGCCCCTGTACCGCCTCCTCATGCTGCTGCCAGGTCCAGAGTGTGTCATGGGTCCCTGTACGGCCTCCCATTGCTGCTGTCTCTATCGCCACACTCTGCCATGTGCCACTTTCAGGTCTCCTCACACTGCTGGTGGTTTCCATTTTTGTCATAGGGTGCTGTATGGCCTCCCATTGCTGCTGCCTCCACCGCCACACTGTGGCTCCACACTCTGGTTTTGGCCCCGTGACTGGCCAAATGAGTGAAGTGTGCGGTGATTCTAAGATCGACGGCACTCATCTGCATGTCATACTGCCTGACAGTATTATTTCTCTTCCCCAGCAGACTCCAAGGGCATTTAAATTAAAGGTACAGTGTTCAGCACTAATATTAAGTCTCTCTGAAGCCTAGAAAACACCCTTTTTTAAGTTAAATTCACAGCGAATATATTCGCAGGGAGTATGCTTATCAAACTCTGAAGGAGTATACCCGGGATGAACTGCTAGAATGTATACGGCTCGCTCATGTTCTAGTAGATCAGGGCACAGAGTTCTCTGAGGTGCAGCCATTGATTGAGGTTTGTGCTGAGTTGGTTTCATCTGGTACCCCCGAATGCAGGGATGAATTTTTACCACCATTTAGTGCAGACCAGGGTCGAGTCCCTGGTGTGGTTATTAGAGGATGATGTGGGTTACTTTCTGGAGCGTTATTCCACATGTTCACCACAGGTACTAAGAGATTGTATAAACGCAGTGCAGTCATTGACCAGACAGGCTTTGTGTAAGCTCAGCTTTGTTCAACCCATACTGCAGACATGGACAGATTTGTTATATACCCAGCCTCAGTCAGCTTACAAAGACCCAGTCCTGCTTCTAATCTATCTCCTCAAAGCTCTACTCCTGTATTCCCAACAGCTCCTCCAGTTACAGCCCAGTATACTTGGCCATCTACCGCACGTCAGTACCCTGTTCCCACTCGCTGCACCTATCCTGCCTTTAACCCTGTAAAGAAGCCCTCTGTAGCGACTGTTCCTTCCCCTGTTCCATCCTCCAGCTCTTCTCTGTCTCTAGCTGTCATTCATTTGCAGACCTGCGTTTACTTGCAGTGCCCCAGTAGTTAAAACCAGAAAAAAAGCGAAAATTCTTTCCAACCAGTACCATCCTGCCAGTATCCAAACCGGTGAGCCTACCGTCTGAGAACCTGCCTTCCGTGGTTCAGCCTGATGCCTCTCTTCAGCCTGAAGCCTCTACTCAGCCTGAAGCCTCTACTCAGCCGGATGCTTCTACCCAGCATAATGAACTGATCCAGCCTGATGATCCTATTAGGCCAGTTGACTCGATGTCCGCTGTTGATCCAGATGATTTGGTACCTGATCCGGTGCCCGCTGTCGTGCCAATTGACTCAGAGCCCGCTGCCGTACCTGGTGACTCGGTGCCCGCAGTCTTGCCAGATGACTCGGTGCCCGCAGTCTTGCCAGACGACTCGGTGCCCGCAGTTCCGTCAGTTGACTCGATGCCCGCTGTTCCACCAGTTGACTCGGTGCCCGCAGTCTTGCCAGATGACTCGGTGCCCGCAGTCTTGCCAGATGACTCGGTGCCCGCAGTCTTGCCAGACGACTCGGTGCCCGCAGTTCCGCCAGTTGACTCGATGCCCGCTGTTCCGCCAGTTGACTCGGTGCCCGCAGTCTTGCCAGACGACTCGGTGCCCGCAGTCTTGCCAGACGACTCGGTGCCCGCAGTTCCGCCAGTTGACTCGATGCCCGCTGTTCCGCCAGTTGACTCGGTGCCCGCAGTCTTGCCAGACGACTCGGTGCCCGCAGTCTTGCCAGACGACTCGGTGCCCGCAGTCTTGCCAGACGACTCGGTGCCCGCAGTCTTGCCAGACGACTCGGTGCCCGCTGTTCCGCCAGTTGACTCGGTGCCCGCAGTCTTGCCAGATGACTCGGTGCCCGCAGTCTTGCCAGATGACTCGGTGCCCGCAGTCTTGCCAGATGACTCGGTGCCCGCAGTCTTGCCAGACGACTCGGTGCCCGCAGTCTTGCCAGACGACTCGGTGCCCACTGTCGTGCCTGGTGACTCGGTGCCCGCCGCTCCGCCTGGGGGCCCGAGAGACCTGTCGCTCCGCCTGGGGGTCCGGCGCCCCCGCCGCTCCGCCTGGGGGCCTGAGACCTGTCGCTCCGCCTGGGAGCCTGAGACCTGTCGCTCCGACTGGGGGCCTGAGACCTGTCGCTCCGACTGGGGGCCTGAGACCTGTCGCTCCACCTGGGGGTCCGGCGCCCGCCGCTCCGCCTGGGGGCCCGAGACCTGTCGCTCCGCCTGGGGGTCCGGCGCCCGCCGCTCCGCCTGGGGGCCCGAGACCTGTCGCTCCGCCTGGGGGCCCGGCGCCCGCCGCTCCGCCTGGGGGCTTGATGCCTGTCGCCCCGCCTGGGGGCCCGATGCCTGTCGCCCCGCCTGGGGGCCCGATGCCTGTCGCCCCTCCTGGGGGCCCGATGCCTGTCGCCCCTCCTGGGGGCCCGATGCCTGTCGCCCCGCCTGGGGGCCCGATGCCTGTCGCCCCTCCTGGGGGCCGGCGCCCGCCGCTCCGCTTGGGGGCCCGATGCCTGTCTCCCTGCGTGGGGGCCCGATGCCTGTCGCCCCTCCTGGGGGCCCGATGCCTGTCACCCCTCCTGGGGCCCGATGCCTGTCGCCCCGTCTGGGGGCCCGATGCCTGTCGCCTCTCCTGGGGGCCCGGCGCCCGCCGCTCCGCTTGGGGGCCCGATGCCTGTCCCCGCCCCCGCCTGGGGGCCCGATGCCCTGTCGCCCCTCCTGGGGGCCCGATGCCTGTCACCCCGCCTGGGGGCCCGATGCCTGTCGCCCCTCCTGGGGGCCCGGCACCTGCCGCTCCGCTTGGGGGCCCGATGCCTGTCGCCCCGCCTGGGGGCCCGATGCCTGTCGCCCCGCCGGGGGGCCCTGTGCTTGCCGCCCCGCCTGGGGGCCCGATGCCTGTCGCCCGCCTGGGGGCCCGGTGCCTGCTGCTTCACCTGGTAATCCGATGTGCCTCTGCCCGGAGTCCAGCCCGATGTGCCTCTGCCCGGAGTCCAGCCCGATGTGCCTCTGCCCGGAGTCCAGCCCGATGTGCCTCTGCCCGGAGTCCAGCCCGATGTGCCTCTGCCCAGAGTCCAGCCCGATGTGCCTCTGCCCAGAGTCCAGCCCGATGTGCCTCTGCCCGGAGTCCAGCCCGATGTGCCTCAGCCCGGAGTCCAGCCCGGTGTGCCTCTGCCCGGTGTGCCGCTGCCCGGAGTCCTGCCCGGTGTGCCGCTGCCCGGAGTCCTGCCCGGTGTGCCAGTCTTTGATATCCCGCCAGTTACCAGACCCGGGCGGTGGAACATTTTGCCCAGCTAGGACTGTTTGGAGCGTCCTGAGGCTGCTCCTTGAGGGGGGGGTACTGTCAGGAATGGACTGGCCAGCAATAGTGGGACTCACCTGCCTTGTGAGCTGCAGTACCAGGGCTGGCCAGTGGGTGCTCCCAGCAATCAGAGACTCAACCTTGCAGCCAGTCAAACACCTGGAACTAATTATACTGGTGTATTTAAGGGACATTCAGACCTGCAGACTCTGCCTTGGTGTTGTGTTTTTCCTGGGCCCTGTATCTTGTTCCTGCATCCTGCTCCTGTTCCTGTTCCCTGTCTTGTTGCTGACCCGGCTTGATTCTGACCTCTGCTGACTTCTCCTGTTCTGATCCCTGGCTTGTGACCCCGACCATTCTCTGCCTGACCCCCTGTACCTACCTGCCTGTTAGTTGCTGTACCCTGCTCGTGACCTGACTATTCTCCGCTTGCTCCCCCTGTACCTACCTGCCCGTTTGATATTGACCCGGCCTGCCTGACGACGCTTGCACTGTATGTACTGTTATCTGTGGGTGGTTTGGTTTGGTTCGTTTGCACTGTGTTATGTTTTAGTATTGCACTGCATTTATGTTTGTATTGTTAGTGTTAATAAATTGTTTATAACTTATCGGAAGTCTGCGTTTCCCTGCGTCAGTCACACACCTCTGGTCATACCCGGGAGCCCTGACAGTGATTCTGGATGAACAGTGTTGACTTATAAGGGGTTTATGTATAATCTTCATCAGCAACTGTAAATAGATATTTTTACAACTATATGTTAACCAAGTTACAAAGCTGGAAATATCAGAGCTTGGTTTGATAGTGGTGTGTTGTACATAGACATTGGAACAAGTGATCAAGTTGTAGAGATAGCTTTGTATTGTATTGGAGGAATGTTTGGTGTGTAAACATGTGCATGCCACAAGGAATGTTCTATTATGTGAGAGGGGGCAAGCACTAAATTAACTACCTTATCTCAGACTTTATGGGGCCCACATAAAGATCTAGACCAAGCCATTTAAATCTGTTTGTAGGAGGGCCACTTCAAAGTACCCTCTCTTTAGATATGCAATGGTGATGGCTATCTGGGAAATGCAGTTTTACCAGGCTATGACCTAAGGTTCCCTCCAAACTCTCAATAATGGAGGAAATTTTGATGAGAAAGCCTGGATCCAGACGCCTCGGTGCCATGACCTGGCATATGTAATTTTATCACTAAAAGGGGAGCTCTGGAATGGGGCTGAGTTATGTAAGTGATATGGGATGGGGAAATTGTCCAATCCTGGATGAGATGCGTCAGATATGGAAGATGGATCGGATAGTTCTACCAATCAGGATGGCCCCATGCAAGTCTATGGGAGATAGGTGTATATCAGGGTAGGTTTTGGGGGAAGACAGGAAGAAGATCCACCGATCCTGGGGGCCTCCATGCTACACCATTGGTAAATATCACCACCCAACTGAGGGTGTTCTTTGCCTGCAACTGCATCCACAGAACTTTGCCCAAAAGGATTATGACTCTGGCGGGAACGCAATGTCAGGCTTCTTCCTGTTGCCTCTCTGGAGGTCCCTCGGATGGGACAATTGGGACAGTTCCATCCCCTACAACTGGGACACCCCCTGGTACTACTTGGATACCTTCAAGTTTATCAAGGAGCAGGGGCTGCAGGGAGTCAAGCCTGACTTGTGGAAACCAAAGACCATTTACAAGCTCATCAGAGCAAGTGACATTTTGGAGTCGGTTCCAGGCCTGCCTTCAGACACCTGCAAGGTGGTCTGGAGGAATGTTTCTTCCAAGATTCTCACCAACAGGCACAAAGACCTGGCATGGATGGCAATCCAAGGGGGGTTGCCTCTCAGGACATTTATGCATGCCAGGAACCTGAGCAGATACAGACACTGCCCCTTCTGCATCATCCATGAGGAAACGTCTCATCACATTTTCTGGGAGTGCTCTTTTGCTCAGGCCCTGTTGAGGGCCCTGGAACCTGAACTCAAGGACTTTGTACCACAGACAGCCATCACACACTTTGGGGTGCTGAATGGACTATTCTGTGGAACTTTTTCTCTGGAGGACATTGACAGCGCCTGGACGCTTTATGGTGCGCCAGGAAGCGCCTCATCCACCAGCGGGAGAGGATGTCCATTGAGGACTGCCGCAGACTGATCCTCAGTCTGCTCAGAGACTATACCTTGATGGACTTTAAGGAGGAAGAGGACGTCTGAAGATCTCCCCTTCCCCCTACTCCCCCTTGCGTGTCTTTGTCCCTTCAATAAAGCTTCGGGCCTGTGTCCCCCTCTTTTTCCCCTTTCCCCCCCCTCACACACCCGATGCTTATTGTAAAATGTAACATCCGGTTTTGTATTGCATGACTTAGTAACGTTAAGAAATGTATTCTGTTTTAGGATGCTATGGTCTCAGGGTAAGCGGCGTTATGCATGACGTGTTGGTCTGGGGATTCGTCCGCCACGCACATCACGTCAGGCATCATACCGCTGAGTGAATGCATTTATTTATTGAATGTATTTATCGTATGCTTGGAACTGTATTGCAATGTGGTGCGCTGCGTCGCAGTATAGGGTGAGATGTACCCCGATAACTTGTATCATGTTTTTTTATACTTATGTAATAAAGTATCTTTTTCAATCAAAAATTGATAACTATCAGGACATTTCTCTGGCACTTACATGTATACATGATTGTCGTATGTGTTGTCTGTCTTGCTGTTTGTGGGTTTTTAGGGTATGAATAGTATATGCTTTAATTCATTGGTTGAATCATATACATTTTGTTTCTCTTTTTCATATTGTTAAATAGATAGATTGTGGTATGTTAGTTTAGACCTCCCTACTATTCACCAATAAATTTTGGTTGTTGTATTAAACCTTTCACTCTTGGTCAAAGAACTCTCATTAAGATTAATCAAATCATATCAGAGAAATATTATATTTCATATTCCATAGATTTGGTCAACAAACAGCCAGCCATTAGGACCTGTCCCCCTGACCTGTGTATCCATACCTCAAGGCTATCCTGACTGACACCCTGGTGGCCAGACTCTGTTTTGGATGTAAGTTTATCCTCTTATTGTACGTGCCGCAAGTTTTGCTTATTAAAAACATATTACACTATCAGAGGCTTCTCTGGGTCTCATCTATTGCATGGGAGCCCGCTTTTGAAGGTTACGTTTATTTGGGAATGATGTGTGATCACCCCCTCCCCCGCTGATGATCTTTCTGGTGGATGACTTACCATTATACCTGGATTGATGACATCTGGTGGCCAACCTGCAGATGACATCCTCCTAATATCACAAGTCCAGAGCACCAGGAGCTGGTCTTAATTGCTCCATGCGCATCTTTTGCGCTATCTGGTTAGTGCATTATTTGTACAATCACGAGATCACAAGAGTCACGAATATCTTTGAACATGGATTATTGGGACAATTGCACCTATCACTTTATCTCACCATGCAATATGGACTGAGTTTTTCATATAAGTTATTATGCCATTCATGTTCTGATTTTCCGCCTGTTCTTACTAACTTTAATAGCGCTGCATATCTTATTTTACATGTTCTCATCTGGGTCCCAAGGTTACCTTTTATGCTAGCTGCTTTACTTCCACGTTCCCAGCGCTCTATTATCTACTTATACAAACAGCCAGCCATTAGACCAGCTAGGAGGGGAGACTCCACCTGTCCTGATTGCAGGAGGAAGAAAAAAAGGAAAGCCTAGGCAAAGATGGGTCAAAAATGTATTGAGTTACGTCCTAATCAGGTAGGGGGTGGGCAGGGCCTCACCCAGCTGTGCTGACATGGAGCCGTCACAGTATATAAAGAAATACCTGTGCTTGTATTTACTGAGCTACCAGAGATTGATGTTGAATCCCTCAGTTTACCTGCTTCTACAGATGATGATGATGATGCTCAGATCGAATATACGCCATCTGATGCTGATTGTGATAAAATTTCTCTGTTTAGTCAGCCTGAATTGAATGATCTTGTAAGAGATTTGTATTTGCCAAAGCAGACTGCTGAATTGTTGGCTTCCAGGCTACAAGAGAAAGGACTACTCAGACCTGGCACTAGTGTCTCCTTTTATCGTAACAGAGAAGCAGCACTGCGAAAGTGTTTCCATTCAGATGGTCAACTTGTTTATTGTAATGATGTTGAAGGGCTTCTTCTCAATATGGGACTGCCCGCATATGATTCAAGTGAACGGAGACTTTTTATTGACAGTAGTAAAAGGAGTTTGAAATGTGTGTTATTTCCCAACAGAAATATATATGGTTCAATCCCAATAGGACACTCTGTAAAAATGAAAGAAGAGTATGCCAACATCAAGATTGTTCTGGATAGACTGGAATACCATGTTCATGGATGGGTAATTTGTGTTGATTTTAAAATGGTTAATTTTCTGCTGGGTCAGCAACGAGGTCACACCAAATACCCTTGTAGAACACTGGGTTAAAAAGAATTGGCCACCAAGAATCAGTTTGACACCTGGTGACAAGAACATCAAGAATGAGCCTCTGGTTGATAGGAATAAAACTGTATTTCCCCCACTGCACATGAAGCAATTCGTCAGAGCTCTTGATCACACTGGAGACTGCTTCGGCTATATATGTTCAACATTTTCAAGTCTCAGTGCCAAGAAAAAAAAAAGGCAGGAATATTTGATGGCTCTCAAATAAGAACACTCATCATGGATCCACACTTTGTTACAACAATGACTGCGGC